GGGCGCAGCATAGAGCGATAGCAAAACTTTCTGGCCTCATTGAAGATCTGAACCGCCAGCTCACGGCTGGGGCAGACAACAACGACGAGAGGCTCAGCTCTGCAGGGCGGGTCGATTCCGGGCTGATAGGTGGCGGGGTTGGGACGAGGGGCTGCCAACTTCTTGGCCTTGCCCATCAGCTTGTTGATGATGGGAATGAGATAAGCCGCTGTCTTACCAGAACCTAAAGATTTGTCAGTGTCAAGGATGGTCAACAGGAGGGGCACCTGAAGATCAACTCACCAGTCTGTGCGATGGCAATGACATCGTATCCCTGGCTGATCGCGGGGACACAGTAGCGCTGGATGGGGGTTGGCACATCGTAGCCCGCAAGCTCGACGTTGCGGAGCATGGCTGGGTGCAGGCCAGCAGCCCTGAAAGAGTCGATAGGCTCGACACGAGTAGGTCCCTCTTGGACAAGCTGGAGCTCAGCAATGGCGGAGAAGTCGATACCCCTGCGGCCGCGCTCCTCGACGGGACCAAAGAGCTGGACCTCCAACTCCGGGAACTCGGGGCCAATGTCGCCCTCTTCGCCATCCCACTCATAGATGCGGGCCTGGCCATCCCACTCTGTCTCGCGGTTGGCAAATTCGTCGTACTCGTACGGAGTCGCCTCGACCCAACCCTCAAGCTTGGGAGGGACGACCTGCACAACGGGGGCAGGGCCGCCGTCCTCGCCGTTGTTGGAGTCAGGGTCAGCGTGGCCGCTGTGGCCGTTGGTCTCCGGGAGAGCCGACTGAAGATCCGAAGTGCCCCAGGCACCGGCCTCGGCCTCGGTGGCAGCGGGGGTAGCACCCCAAGCGTTGTCAGCCATGACGCGAGAGTGGCTGGAAGAGATGGATGGGTTAGCTTGATGATCAGCTGGACGTTGAGCGATGGTGACCTGAAGTCTTGGATGGAATCAAGTGGTTCCATGGGCTCAAGTGGAAGTAAGTGACAGCGGGGTGACGCGACCGTGGAGGTGCGGCGCGTGTATGGTGAGGATGATGTCGACGAGGAGGGGAGACGAAGAGATAGAAACAACGAAAGAGACTTACTTGTTGCGAGACGACGGAAGCTATTCGCAGCGGGAGAATGATACGAAGTGCAGCACGTCGACGTGTTGACGAGTCCTGCGGGTGGGTGTCGCGTGGGTGAGGAGGAAGAGAGAGAGGGGAGGGGTTGAAATAAATATCAGAGAACGCACAAGCCACCCAAGCTTTGTGTGCCAGAGAGGAGTAGGTACGTGTTGCGTCAACAAGGCAACCAAAATTCCAAAGCGAGGAACGAGTGCCTGCGGAAAGGTGGCGGGGCAGAGGCAGGCCTATGAAGGGGGAGGTATGAAGAGGGAAGGTATGACCGGGAGGACTTCCTGCCTTGCAGGCGGTGTACGCTCTGCTGGGGACGAGAGACAAAGCGTGACCGGCAGAAAGTTGAGCAAGTTGACGGGTAGCAGCTGCCTGCCACCGGCACGACGAGTTAAAGGATCTTTTGGTCACGATAAGGGACCCGATGATGGGATGGGGCTGTGCGTGGCGTGGTCGGGTCAAACGAAGTGGAAGTGACGGGAGGGGCCGTCAGGGTTCGCGGTCCGGTCGAATTGATGCCGGGGAAGCGCAAGGGACAAGGGCGCTCTTGGATACGCAGGTATCAAACGTACCGGCTCTTTGGGTCAGTGACAATGGAGATTCTTTGCGGAGTTTGCGTCTTCTTGTTGATTCGGATTTTGACGTATGATGGCTTGTTTCCTTGGATAGGTAACCTAAAGAGCAACTAGAGGACTGATCTGGAGTTCCTCCTACACACTCTCTGCTTTCTTCCTCCTTTTAGTTATCGGAACTCCCGGGCGTCTACCACCAGCTGCAGTACTACGTATCGAGCTACCTCCTCCAGGAGTCCGGTATTGTCAGCCACACTTCCACTTGATCTGATTACAAGCTCGCCGTGGCGGGAGGATTCGTTCGCGTTCGGACCATCTTTCAACAGCTGCCAAGCGGGCCTATCTACCAGAGGTCGGGACAAAGGCGGTATACAGCTTGAATAGACGAGCGTTTGTTCTGCGTCCGCAGAATAGCCACTCAACAATATCAGCCTTGGTTACGGTCGGGAGACCCGGATCAAAGCACAGATCTAGGCCGGTCAGGCAGTCAAACACTTCACGATACTATACCAACGGAGACAGGAAGCCCTTCAACTAGCCATGGATCTCGTAACAAAGGTCTACTGATCCGAAGTGTGGAAGCCTGTTTGGGATTAACATGTAGCTTAGTTCATAGTATCAGAGTGTCCCACCCGCTCCTTTTCCCCCGCCATGGCTTGATACCTCTGCCGCTCTGGCTACGATAACGCGATCCAGTTTTGGACGGACAGCGATCAACAACCATGAGACTCTTTCATGGACAGTGAGCCAAAGGAACGAAAGCATCGCAACAGACAACGACGGCGCAGCAAACGAAACCTCGAAATACTATAGCAGCCCAGACAGATTTGGATCCTGAAGGACAGCCTCATCGCAACAACTTGTCCTCAAGCATGTCGAGTTGTTCGAACGGGAAGGGAGCCAGCCAGCGGGACTTGAGCGAAGGTATATCCGCGAGTAAGCAAAGAAGCCACCAAGCACGCCATCAAGACCTACGATTCCAGCTAACAACATGCTCAACAAGCAGGGCATTGAAGATAACCAACCGAAACGGAACTTGATGGCGGCCCGAAAAGCGGTCGCGTGAACGAACAGCCCAAAGAATAAGGAGGACAGGAAAAACGAGGTTGGACAATACGAATGGGCGAACGGACGAACATGCCGCACAGGACGAATACTTCTCGTCTAGATTCCACAGTCAGATCATATACCCGCCCCACGCGGAGATTTCAAATCTTCATCGCATTCGGATTCAACTGAGGTAAGTTCTTGGGATCATATCGAGGAGTTCAGGGCTAATTCAGTAGTAGTAACCGGGACAGCAACAACAGTAGTACTTAGTAGCAACCGCAACAGCAACAACAGCTGCACAATGGCGCGCGAAAAGAACACACACACAAAGATCAAGACTGCTACCGAGCATCATACAAGGCCCATAAACTCCTATTTCTCATCAACCCCTACGCCCGCTGCCACTCGTCCCTCCCGGCCCAAGACCGGCCTATCTCTAGCTGCCAAGCCGAGCAGCGTCCAGGGCGTCAAGCCCATTGCATCGTTTTTTTCGGCTACAGCATCCAATTCTGCCTCTCTCCGATCGTACTTGCAAACCGACAACGATGATCATGACAATGATGACGACGATGACATTGATGAGGACGATGACCATGATGAGGACGATGCTGCGACCAAGGTCCAGTACTGCCCTCCCAAGGACGACGACTGGCTCGTTGACTCCAATGAGCTTCCCGAGATGCCCGCCGCTGCTGCTAAGAAGGTAAGCTTTCCTCTCAAATATGTGTTGAACCTTGAAGGAACCTGAAACCAACTAATCCCCCTTCCTCACAGTACCTCGAGAATGGCGCCGAACAAGGGGACATTTTGTCCCAAACTTGGATCCACTTTGACAACGCTAGATCCAAAGCTCACCCAGTCATCCAGGGCTATCTTTCTTGTCGTTCTGATTGGGACCAATACTCCGCGGCCATCACCGTCGAGCCAACGTTGACTGCTTTTTTTAACCAAGCAACAGCCTTCTACTTTGGAGGAGCTGAAGCAGTTCCCCGGCCACAAACGCGGCAGCCCGGTCAAATGGGCCGTATATCTCGTCATCTTGGAAAAGCCTACCGAACGTCCCGCTCTGTACATCGGGGCTACCACGAGCAATGATGGTATCTCAAAACGCTTCCGGGAGTACAATGACGGGAAGTCTTTGTCAGGACACAGGAAAAGATATATGGCTAACGGGTACATCATTACCCACAAAGCTAATGTATCCTCGCGTCAATTCCAAACCCTCCTTCCTATATGTAATTCCCTTGGTGTGCGGGCGGCCTTATTAGTTCTGGAGACGATAGTTGCTTCTGTATTCTGGGCATACCACCCCACTGTAGCTCTTGATGAGTTTGGAAACCCCAGCACTTTGCCCATGGCCTCGTGAGAGCTTACCATATACGATGGACTATGCTCGCACGGGGCAATTGAGGACACGTCTACTCATGGTAAGGATCCAGTCCCCGGACCAACATGACGGCCAGACAACTCGATGCATATGAAGCATCCCATTCTCGAGCGTTATCCCTAACACTTCTGGTATTTGGACTTACATGACAGCTATCTCGGTATGAACCTTCATTTTCGTCAGCCAGCTTTGGTACTTGAGGTGCAATAATTATAAACATCATGATGGACCGACCACCTATATTGATCGAAGAACTCGACGATCCGATAGAAATTAAGACATATCCGTTTGTTCATCCGCGACCATTCTAGTACATTTCGGAGACCAAAAGGATACCTACCAATCTGGTTTCCAGAAAGTACAATCTAATGCTGGTTTGTTTCAGTTGTTAGCTTGGTACTCTTTGTGTACTGGACGAGATCTATCCTGAATTGTCCCAAACCTCACAAAAATAAAATAAATGGCTAGGTACAAGTCGGAAAGGCATCAACAAGATTCAATATAGCATATCAAATTTCCAAAGAAGCATATGCAAAGTAAGATCACGCTTTGGTTGTAGAACGAAACGGATTGATTAGATATATAAACGCCTAGCGAAGTTGACCAGAGGTCTCGAGCTCATGAACAAATCAGTATTGGACTGTACATCAATCCTCCCCAGTCAGCATCATCAGATCAGGATCCCAAGTAGGTACATAACACAACACACTGCGACACATCATCATCAATAAATGGGACTACTAACTAACCAAACCAAATAATCAACCACGCATGCATGCATGCACGCACGCATGGTACATAGTAAGTGAAACGAATACAGTATACGCGAGGAAGCAAAGAAGGAACGAAATAGAAAAGAAAAACTAGTAAAAGCAAAAAGAGTATCGCCGCCGGTCAGACTCGAACTGACAATCTACGGATTAGAAGTCCGGCGAGTTACCATTTCTCTACGACGGCTTTTTCTGTGTGTTGTTGGAAGGGGTGCTTGATTGATGGGGTTATAAGGCGCTTGCTTAGGTGCGTGGGCAGGGAGGTAGGCAAGCAGACTACAGGTTGGGATGAAAGACGTGGAAGCAGCTTGGCGGGTTGGATGATGGAAGGTGCGGTTAAGGTGGAAGTTTGCTTCCAGGTTGGAAGGTGGGTGGGTGACTGCCGGTTGCCGATGGTGGTGGGTGACGACGACGCAGATACCTTACTTAGTCAAGGTCCATGGCATGAAGTGGAATAGGTTGAGTGAAGTGGTTCTTTTGTTCTGATTATACTTTGTTATATTTATACGTTCAAGGTGTGCTATAACTACCGTGGCATATATCTCATTCGAGTTCCTTCATAGTACAACTTCTCTAGCAGTAGCACTAGCTGTTTCTGCCATGGTGTGCGCACTCTCTGTTTCCTTTCCTTCACATCTTCTGTTCGGTGTGTTGTTCGTTACTCTCCGAAAACAAATCAGCAGCTCCCTGACCCATTTTTCAAAAGTACTCAATCCCCTTTCTAGGACCACAACCATTTATGTCCTTGACAGTACTTCCTTTCACAGTTGGGGAATGCCCCAAAGTTTAGTCAACCCTGATGATAACCTTCCACCCCAACGCCCCCGCCTCACGAATCGCACAAGCCAAACATCCTCTCCGTCTCCGACTGATGAGGGCATTCCAGCCCTTCTCCGCGCAAAACGCTCTGACGAGGATCTCCATATCAGAGCCGAACTGGCGTCTCCTCGTCTCCGAGTGCATCTTCTTTGATGCACTCTCCATGTTGCCCCCTCCCGTTGCTCCCCCTTCCTTGACTCCCTCAATCGTAGTCGGACTAGCGCACTCGGTTGCCGCGGCGGTGATGGGAGAGACGGGGGAGTGGTCATTATCATTGATATCATTAATATTGCTGTTGTTGGTGTTGCTCCTGCTAGGCGTGGGGAATGAATAGCTCCCGTGTCTGCTAGCAACCGGGGATAAGGGTATTTCGTGTTCCTGCGGCAACGACTGGAAGCCGGTGATGCAGTCGATCACCAGGAACTTGGCTGCGCTCTTGGCGGAAGTAGGTGTGAGGCTGGGTCGGTGAGCGGCCGATGAGTAGTCGTCTAGTAACGCGTCGAGGGAGAAGTCTTGCTTCGCCATCAAGTCCGACAGGTGCAGAGCGGTGTATGTATAGGATTTGTGTAGTGGGTGGCCTGTAGTTGTGTCAGTGACGACGAAGAGACGGGAACGAAAAGGAATCGACATACCGACGACGCTTACGGCCTTACCAGCGGCGCCACGTCCGGATAGGTCCACTTGCTGAATGGTAGGGCTGGATGGTGACCTGAGAATCTTGACATGTGAAGAGGGGACGCAAGGATGAGCAGTCACAAAGTTGACATCCTTTGCCAGCGAAAAGGTATGTTGCTTGGTCTGATAGGTGTCCAGGTCTGTTACAGTAAAAGAGACCTCAGCAGGGTATGTCCGGATCTGCGCCGGGCGACTGAGCTCCGAAAAGGGGGTTGCCGCATTGTCTTCAGCTGGAGTGGTATGGGCCGAATCAACTGGTGCCCATAATTTCAGAGCATCCAGTTCGATCAGGAGAGTGGGCGGTGTCTTGTCCCGATACACGTTCTCAAATGGGATGATAAAGTCGGCTGGGAGGACTGACGAGGGGTCTGCATCTCCCAAGACGTTCGAGTCTCTCTCAACTGCGATCTTTGCCCAGATGCGAGCCTTCTTATTGATCCCAAGGGCATCCTCTGCGAGGGTTGTCAGTTTACGGTCAATAGCCAATCAAGAAAAAGTCATCACTCACCTGCATGTTCCTCAACTTCGACATTGACCCAGCCATCACCAAGTCCCTGAGGAGTAATATCGCTGGAAATCCAACCCATACACTCAGCAGAGCCCTTACCGGCCGCAAGAACACGGCCGACGATGCAAGACGTGCTCCAGAAACTCTTGCCCGAATACACAAAACCGCCGCAGAGGTTGGCCATAGTTCCAAGCCTTGCCATAGCCTCCGGGTCGTTTTCCAACAGCGTAGCCATCAAAAAGTGGCAAATCCCATCACCAGGTAGCATCAGGCCAGACACATAGCTCTTTGACAGCCAACCTGCCGAGTGCAATGCTGCCGATATCATCCTGCGCCTCGAAGGCTCCCGCATTGGGGCTGCCGGTCTGTGCAGATCATGTCCAGTAAAGTAGGAGGAGTGATGGCTCTCCGCTCTGCTCAAGGGACTGGCAAGCGGCGTGTTGAGCTGAGTTCCTTCAGTGACTGACCGGCAGTTCTCGGAAATCTTGGAAGCATAGACGTCAATGTCGGGCCAGCGCAACCTGGTCGCAAAGTGCTTCAGGCCATAGACCTGGCGCTCGACATGCCGTCCTCTAATGGCATATACTGGGCCATGATGGTCCTTGTGGTGGTGGTGACTGCCATAATCACGGGCAATGGACATACGCTTCGTCAGAGTCGCCAACCAGCCCGCTGGTTTTTCCTGCTCTGGACTGGGCGGGTCTGTCTTGACTATCTCAATGTTCTCCAACCAGGCCCGGGCCAGGTGCAACGACCATTTGACGGTTGTGTTGGCGTCTTTCTCGAACTTGAGAATCTCAGCAGGGTTAATGCTCTCGATGCCAAGTTCGTCGCCCTCCGTAATGGCGTCGAGCCGTACGAGAAGCTCGCAAGCGAGTAAGATCTGGAGGAGAAGCCAATATCTCTCCTCGGTAACGTCGCTCAGCGGATCATCGGTCTTGATGGATGCGCCGTCGTCGACTTGGTCCTCGTCAGGGGTGCCCCAGAGCAACTGTCCAAGTCGGATTCTCCACTCGACAAGTGAGAAGTCGATCCAGATGTTGGGAGCAGCGAGAACCTTGACCAAAGCAGCGATTTGCACCGAGAGGCTATAGGGATCTCTATGGTCGAGCACCTTGGTCGGAGGGTGAAGGATCTGGAGGAACAACTCATTGTATAGTTCGCTCGAGAGCCGACGCTCGCGCGGGTGCTGCTCACTGTAGCGCTTGCCGTTCTTGATCAGCTGTTCGAAAATCAAGGTTTCGTCCATATGACGGAGGCCATCCTTGGAGACAAGCATTCTTTGCCGTGCTTCAACCACGGCGTGGGGTCTGGATGCAAGACTCTCGAAACCCCATTGATCCTCCTTCAGGGCATCGGCGACATTGAGTTCCAAAGCAGCTTGGAAACCCATGCTTCCCTTCTCAAGCCCGCCTATGCTCAGCATGCTCGGTCGCTCACGACAACGGGGATAGAAATGGGCACAGCGCTTCTTCTCCGAGGCCCGTTGCGCCGTGGACCTGTCCGGCTGGATATCACGCGTGATATGCGGCCATGCTGAGACGCAGGTCCAAGCGCGATCTTCGATCTGGGTGTGGTCGGTCAAGTCCCGAATTCCGAGCTCCTCGTCCCAAGGGAAAGCGACTGACGGATGCGGAGCGCCAGTATAGTGGCCTTCTGCTCGGTCGAAGTACTGAGGAGCTCCCGAGAAGAGCTTCTCTATGTCGGAGTCGGATAGGGTAGCCATGATGCGGGCCAGTCTCAATACCGGTCTTGTTGGACAGTCCCGCCTCAAATCACTGGGAGGCGGCGATGGGAGCGGTTTGTTAACATTTATAGGCGAGCGTGGTGATAATGGCGTGTGCGCCGATGGTGACCTTGGCGTGTAGATCTCTAAGACTGGTGATGGAATTGTGGAGGTTGTTGGTGATCGGAGTGTTGGTGGAGGAGGAGTCTAAGTTGATAGTACAGGAGTGGTCAGCCAGGTCGTTGTTTGCATAGGAGGTAGTTCAGAGCATCACAATGTCTTTCTTTCTTCACAGCAGCAGGACAGAAATGGTCGTCTGTGGGAGGAGGTTGGGCATGAAACGAGAAACAAGATCCCCTCTTGTTTGATGCATCGTGTTAAGTGCTCCCGTCGTACGATTGGCCCCCTGTAAATGCAGACGTATAGTGCCACAATGAGAGTGGTGCAGAGGATCACGCGGGCAGTCTCGACCGGCCCGGACCACTCAAGTTCCCGTCTTGGAGTTGAGGTGCGGCTTCGCTTGACCTCCACCTCTTTTTGGAGAAAGCTGGGGAAACCTGGGAGGGGGAGATGACGACACTTGCCCGTCTTCACCAACAAGCAACAACGGACGACAGAATGGAATAGTCACCTACTTGGATGCAGCACCACTGAAAGAGAAAAAGAGGTTTGAATAAGAATCTGAACTTGACTGAATGATAATGAGGGGAAGTGTTCTACTTACAGCTTCTCGAATGGTTCCCATGCCTTGTCTTTCTCCTCTCTGTTCCCCTCCTCGTCCTTCTCCTCTTTCCCGGTATTGAGAGATCGGGATTGGAGGCTGTGATGCAGCTCTTCCCCGCGGAACCTTGGCACTTTCCTGGTGAGGGGTCGATGTGCCTGAGGAAGGAGACGAGGTGTTGTTGGAGGAAGGCGGCAGCTTCCCGCATAATCGACTGCGGATGTCCTGCAGAAAGAGCTCTCGTCTTGACCCGCGCCTCTCCTTCTTCTTCTCATTCGTTGTCGTCTGGATATCCCGTCCATGGTCATTTCCGTCAATCGAAGTCTGTCGCGAACTCTCGTTGCTGTTGAAAGTGGAAGTGCTGGTGTTGTTGTTTGTGTTGTTGTTTGTGTTGGTGTTGAATGTCAACCCCAAACCAAGTCCCCCAAATCGGCCGCCGCCTCCATGTCCCACTGCCCCCCTTCCTC